CCCCAAAACCCCAAAACCCCAAAACCCCAAAACCCCAAAACCCCGCTCTAGGAGTGCAAAACTGAATTTTTAATTGAACTAAACCAGCCTAGAAACATCTGCAATACTATTCTGGATAATTTTGACTGGATTTTGGGCTTTTTGTTTCCTAAATTTGATCAATAATACTAACCTTTGCTCTGCATTGACATCTCCGTCAGCAGTATCAACTCTTAATGGTCGACCACCATTCTTTTGGTTCTCTTGATATTGGCTATCCTTGTTCTTAATAATGTTGTTTAGTTTAAAAGAGAGCAATTGCTTATTCGCTGATAGTAGATCGAATCTAGCACTAGCGTTGATTAGTGCTAATCTATCAAGCTTCTCAATCTCTTCATCAACATGGCTACAAAGTGTTAAAACAGCTTATTAAATATTTACCCTGAAAGCATGTCTTCGTGACTTCTGTTACAACTGATCATTCCTTTGATTTTATTTCAGCTTAGTGGCTGCATCTGGATTCTTAGCAATAGCATTAGATTTGTTCCTGTTCTTATTTGTCAAACTTTCTATTCTCCTTGTTCATCACATGATCCTCTTTTAGGTCCAAGCCAAACATTGGGTCCTCCTTAGGCCTGCTCATTACAGTAGAATGAGTGTTATTGGACTTAAGTCTTTCAGCCTTTTTATGCTTGTTAAGAAGTCTTTCAAGCATCTTATTTTTAGAATCATGGCTAATCAACTTCTTCAGGTTTTTTCAGTATCCAAAATTGCTCTTAAGAGCCTTATAGTAATCACTCATATCGCTAGTAGAGATCTTCTCAAACGACAGGAGTTGATTCTTCTTATCCTTAGAAGCATTAGAGTTGTCTGTCAGTATATCCTGGAAGCTGTTTGGCTCATTTCCATCAATCATGCGGTTCCGGCTTCCTTTCAAGCTTAAGTTTTGAATCACAGCATTGTGCTTGTCTATTTTGTTCTTCGTCAGACTGGAAGAGTCCGATAACTCCTAAAAATAAAATTTTATAGTACCTTTACATCTAGATTGGGTATCCTGAATTGATAGGACTCCATCTTGCTGACTGAAGAGGAGTCCAGGTTGATCTTCGGCATTCCATTAATGTTGTTCCGGCTTGAGAAGATATAGTTAAGCAGCTCCTGCTCAGACATCATTTTAGACCGGCTCATCTCTGGTTTGGACAGATTAATCCCTTCTTCATAATTCACAGCTTTCTCCCGAGGAGCGATATCTAGCCCTCTAGTCTTCAAAGGAGGAGGAAGGGAGGTATCCTTCTTGACTTTCGGGGGTTTATCTTGTTGTTCTACATAATAAGTAGGAGATGTACCTCCATAACACATGAATTCCTTCTTAATTCCTCTTTTGTTAATCTTGTGTTTCTTATTCATTGAAGTATGGGAGTTATTTTTATTTCTATCTGAATTCTGATCCCTTTTGTTAGCATGAGGCTTGCCGACGAAAATGTCCTCGCTTTTTCGCTTCTTAAATCCACTAAGTCTGATATCGGGAAGTCTAAAGGTCGTGAAGAGGAGTTATACCCGTAGTTATTGGAAGAAGGGCTATGCTTATCTTTGAAGTGGATAGGAGATTTCTCCTTATAGACTTTCTTTCTCCCTCTGTTTCCTTTACCATCGGTCTTATTGATCGAGATGCTCTTGTTCTTAAGACTACAGAGGTAAGAAGGGTAAATGCTTACTTTGACACTGAGGAATCCAAATTTGGCAGATATGAGTTTAAGTTCTACAAAAATTAAAAATTTTCTTATTTAAGAATTTTTGCTACCTTCAGTTTTCTAGTATTTTTAGTATTTGTCTTGCAATTAGAAAGTTTTTGTGACTATAATTTGAGAGCAAAAAGAAGTACCCCAAGGTCTGAATTAATAGAATTAGAAACTCCAAGTGTTTTTTCTTTGGGTAAATCACTTTCAACCTCCAAATTGTATTTAGAACTCTGTTTCATCCTACACAAATCATCAGCTACATCCCTTGTCTCTCCACTAAAGTTCTTGTACTTACTCCTGATGTGAATGAGGATTGGTAGGCTGTCCAGATCTGGCTCCCTCATTAGAATTAAAACTCTGTTTAAACTTCTTCTTATGTCTCTTCCCCCACTTCTGATAAGCATTGGTCTTATTTACCCTTCTGTGGTGCCTTTTCCACGCTCATAGAGTAATTAATTTTAGAGATTTGTTTGCCCAGATGGGTGCTATTTTCCTTAATCTTTGAGGCCTCCTTTGACATATTTCTCAAGATATTATATAATTTAACAGTAAAAATATTTCAAACAGAGTATATTATCCAGGGGTTTTGGGGTTTTGGGGTTTTGGGGTTTTGGGG